CTGCAGTCCAGCAGCCCCTACTGAGCTCCCTGCTCTCTGCAGTTCCAGCGCCCCCTGCTGAGCTCCCTGCTCCCTGCAGCCCAGCGCCCCCTGCTGAGCCCCCTGCTCCCTGCAGCCCAGAGCTCCCTGCAGTCCAGCGCCCCCTGCTGAGCTCCCTGCTCCCTGCAGCCCTGCTGCTTAGTGCTGAGCCCCCTGCTCCCTGCAGCCCAGAGCTCCCTGCAGCCCAGCGTCCCCTGCTGAGCTCCCTGCTCCCTGCAGCCCTGCGCCCCCTGCTGTCTTCCACCTCTCTCCCTGCAGCATCCCATGAACCCTAGTGCCTCCTAGTGCAGCAGCAGGAAAGGGTTTAATACCCTGCCAGGCTGCAGGGATCCCACTGCTGACACCAGCAATGGCACTGGGAGCTCGTGGAGGGAGGTGGGTTGACCCCACAGCGAAGCAGCAGTGTAGCTGGACACTGGGAGCTGTTACCTGGGTGAGGGGCTGGCAGCAGGGCTGGGCTCTGGGCTCCACAGATCCCAGCTGGTCAGGAGCCGAGGACAGCTTCCGGGGATGGAGGGGTGGGGACTCCCCACTCTGCAGCTCATGTCAGGTTCAGCCTCAGCCTCCACCCCCCAGCATTCAAGCCCAGCCACTCTACACCTGCCCCTGAGTTCCACGTCTCACTGCATTTGGGCACAGGACTGTCCACCCCTCCTCCACCACAAGGCTGACCTGTCTCCATGGCCCCGCACCTCCCCAGCCTGCCTGGGTGCCCCCCCACCTGTCCTGCCTGCCTTAATACCCTCCCACCTCAGCTTGCCAAGGCATCCCCCCACCTCAGCAGTTCCTCCCTAGCCTTCCCCAATGCCCCCAGAATCCCTCTACCAGGCCTGGCAAGATGCCCCCTAACACTTGCCTGCTTTGGCACCCCCGTGTCAGCAACCCCCTCCCCACACACCTGTGCTGGGGGACCCTCACCGACAGGGGCTGCTGTCACCCTGCGCTGCGGCCTCCGCGTCAGTGGGGCGACAGGCCGTGGGTCTGCGCAGGGGGCTGGTTTGTGGAGCTGGGCACCACAAATCACCAACGCAAGGCATTGCCAGCCGGGTGTTTAATGTTCTCTTGCTCTCAACAGGAGTCTGTTAAACCCAAGGCCTAAACCTCCCTCCCCAGGCGGGCACTACCCCATCCTGCCTCCTCCCCCAGCCCTAGGCCACTGCAGTATCTGGGATCTAGGCTTATCTGGGGGGCAGCTCACAGCACCGGGGGGAGGGGATCACAGAGGCATTGTACCCACAGCCCATAGCTCGCCATAGACTCCCATGTAGGACCAAGGGTCAGCCAGGGCTGGATACCAGGGTAGATGGGCCCATGAGCAAAGAGTCTCCAGAGGGGAGGTGCAGGAGTGAAGACAAAATGGAGGGATTCCCATCCCCCCACCGGCAGTGAGAGGGCGCAAAGCACAGAGCTGGGTCTGGGGGGGAGCAAGGCAAGGAGACTGCCCCCCAAATCCTGCCACTGGCCCTC